GGGAAGAGTCACCATTAAAAGCACAACATATATTTGATAATGTTAACAAATGTTCTGGGCTGTGACTTTTCATTAGACTATTTTTTAATATCAATGTATGGCATTTAAAAGAAAATTAAAAAATCCTTAATGAAAATGATGTTCACTAATATCCCTACTCGACATTAATGTAGATGTCCCTACACCACAGAGAAAGCACAAACCTTAGTTCTCATTAATGCAAACTCAGATCTAGGGTGGCCACAGCTGGTGGTCCTTAATGTGCTGCTCTACTGTTGAACATGGCAATGACTGCTAGCCTCTAATATAGCAAAATTAACGCACAAACTCAGATATTTTAAACCTGACAAAGAAAAAGAAAGGTTGCTTATATACCTCCTTCACTAGAATTTCATATTTCTGCTGTAATAGAAATGAGATTTACAAATCTCTTAGTTGACTAGAAGTTCCTAGAAGGAAAATACCCATTTTAAATTAAGACTGATTTTACCCTTTAATGATATAAGTAATTGACTCCGTTACGCTTTGTCTGATTTGACAGCATTAATTAAAGTTTTTAAGCCTCTTAAATTATATCTTGAACTACAGGGTTTTAAGCAAATGATTATCTTATGCAATTTGGAGATCCAGCTGTTTGAAGCATGATCTGAAGAAGGTCACAGCTTGCACACCAACCTGCAAGTCTTATTTAACAAACCTTTGCAGTATTTATTTATTAATTAATTATTTATTCATTTATTTATTTTCAGCTGTCAGGGTCTGCTCTATGTGACCATGTGTTATAAACAGATAGCTCCAAGTAGTACCGAAGTAGCTGTAGTTACACAGGTGAAATTGTTTCTCCAGCATCACCATTGTAACCCACAAGGATTTTAATCACAGGATATTGCTGTGCTAAAAATTACCTTTCTTTTTTTTTTTTTTTTTTCCCCTTATGAATATCAGAGAGATAGGAAGGAAGATGGATAGGCAGGAAATGAGAAAATCTATGTTGCCTCCTCATCATCTTGGTGAAAGATGAGGAGCATATACACTTAGAGGAGATGGTTTGATTGTGTATCGTAATGTCACGGCTGCTGTCTAAACCTGAATTACCTGATTTAACAGTGACCAAAGGAAAGGCTTGTCATGCCATGTGCTAATTTGTCAGACTTTCCCCATTTTGTCAGTTTTCCCTGTTTCATTTTTCTTAAGAAGATGTAAAATTTAACAGGAACAACAGAAAACTACCATGTGTTATTTCTTCCAAGACGTGTGAACCACTCAACACCACTGCACAAGGATGCAGCATCAGGCACAGCCACCCTGTTCCTCTGCCTCTCAGATATTTTTCTTACGACGCCTTCTCCTCCAGGGCTGTCCCTGCTCTCACACACCCTTGCATCCTCCTCCCTGGTGCTCTCCGGGCAGCCGAGGCAATGGCACACCAAGCTCTCCCTTAGCATTTCTTCCTTTGACATTTCCCCTCCGGCTGGGTACTGCTCTGCCACTTATGGACAGGGAGAGGATGAATCCTCAAGTACAGACTGTAACTGGCTTTTAAACCAGAGATATTCAACCAGCATCTGCTTCAGATATAGCTGCTGCTGTGGAAATCTCAAGACTGGAAAAAATGGCTGGTCCCATCCCCCTGTTTTTCCAAGGGGATGTGGGGGAGATGTGAGGGTCTGGGTACCCTCCCATCAGGGTCTAAAGGAATTTACTCGGGTGTCCTCATCTGCAAGTCATTGTAGATTTTTTTTTTTTTCATTTAAACCAATAACTATTTTTTTAAAATTAACCTTTACTGTAAATATATTGGTTAAATAATTTCAAAAGCATAATTTTAAGGTTTTTTTCACCTTTACATGCTTGCCTTCAGTTGCTGCTTGACCAAAGACCATATGATGGCATTACAAACTCACCTGTAACACCAGGCCTCACAACATTCACAGGCTTGGAGCCCATGACTTGCAGAGCCACAGCAGCAGTCCTGCTGTCCCCTTCTCCAGGGAGGGACTCATGCACCCCTGACCGCTCTGGGCTTGCTGCATGTGCTGAGCATATGCTCCATCAGCCATGCAACCACAAAAAGGCAGCTTTCCTTGACCTATCCCAAAGCTTATTGTAGTTAGATATAAACCTTTTCCTCTTTGTTGTTCCATCCCGTCTCCCATACCAGTTCTTGTAAGCTGATGCTGAAAAACTCTTTTCAAAGGCGTCACATCGCTCCTGGATTTCATAGATGATACCCTTAGATTTCATGAGAAGGCTGCAACAAACCGGATATTGGATTCTCCGGGCTATGCACAAAGACTCTATTAGATGCGTTCAAATCAAAATTGCAGTGTCTGGAATTTATTAGTTTCTTCTAACACTTCACTAAAGTCCTTGCTGATAAAATATCTCATTCATATTTTTCAGGCGTTGCTTTTGTTCCAGCCAGTATCTCTTATCTCATTGGGACTAATCTTTTTGGGATACTCGCGCACAAAATGGGAAGGTATGCTTAATTTTAAAATACTAATAATCTTCCAGTCTGTCCATGTACCATTTCCAGTGTTTCCCAAGGTAGTTATTGACAGTGGAAATTATTAAACTTTGTTTTATATTAGCAAAATCACTTTTTTGAACACGTTGCTATTTTGGTTGTGTAACTTGGCACTTCAGACATGACTTTGAAACATTCAGGATCAGCCCTAACATCTCAGTGTCACCCATCTCTGAGTGATGTTTCTTCTTTGACAGGTGGCTTTGTGCTTTACTCGGGATGCTAATCGTGGGAATAAGTATTTTATGCGTAAGTAGAAGATCATGTATCTTTCAAACCATCTAAATGTTCATGTGTTCATCTTCAAATCAGCGTTTTCCCCATGAGATTTTGCTGAAGATTCTGCTTTATGATATGTTATTAAACAATGTGTACTTAATAGGTTCCAGATCAGAGTTTTGAGTGCTTTCAAATTTCAGCGCTTCAATTATTTTAAGAAAGAATGGCTCCGAAAGGAGGAGAAGAATTGGGTTTTTTTTGAGTTGTAACTCAACAGTTTATTATTGCTCATAATAGTAAGTGTGTCAGTGGCACAGTTGTCTGAAGCAGTTGCCCAGAGCAAGGATCAAACTCTAATTCTTGCGTCTGTACAAAGCATGCCATAATTACTTTGAGAATTTATCTTAGAAAAAGAAAACTAACCTCATTAGCATGTGCAGGGTGACATAATTAACAACCTGAAATTTCCTTTATAGGTACCATTTGCTAAAAACATCTATGGGCTCATAGCACCAAATTTTGGAATTGGATTTGCCATTGGTAAGAAAAATTACAATGACTTATTATAGTCTGTTGATTATGTACAAATTATTTTATATGAAGTTGCAGAGAAAATTAGCTTTGTTGCCGTTCTGGTCTGATAGTAGTGAAGCCTGAGCTCTGGCACAAACTGGTAGGCAGAGTAAGAAGGGTTAAAGGATGGTGCTCAGGCAGTTTGAACCAGGCTGGATTCTGAAGTCTGTCCAGAATTGCTCCATTGACCTAAACAGATCTTTCAAACTGTCCACGAATATAAACATTGTTTTCAGAAATAAATCCATGCACTGCACCAAGCCTACCATACAGACATTTTCATAGGAAATAAAATAAAAAAAAAAAACAGGCTTAAATTTTTGTTCATCAACCAGGCATTTCCAAGCCCGTGCACATGTACTCTTCTCCAAGTCCTATGTGTGAGCTTTGCTTATGCTGGACCACACAGTCAGGCTGGAATCATAGAATCATAGAATGCTTTGGGTTGGAAGGGACCTTAAAGATCATCCAGTTCCAACCCCCCTGCCATCAGCAGGGACACCTTCCACTAGACCAGGTTGCTCAAAGCCTCATCCAACCTGGCCTTGAACACTTCCAGGGAGGAGCATGGGGACCATGGCTTGGGTTTTAGCGCTTGGCTGGTCAGCAAATGATCTGGGGTATCTTCACACGAGGGATGTGTAGTTAGGAGAGAAGTTACAGGCACAACTACAAATCCCCAGGATCTCAGCAGCTTTGCCAACTGTCTTGTTCTGTTTCTTGCTAGCAATGAAAATGTGGCTCAAAAGTCGTGTTGATACCACTGTAATAATTTTGATTGATTGGAGGCTAATGCAATCCTTTAGACCTACAGTAAGTGTAAGTTCACACAAAATAGCTTCCCCCTAAATGAAAGCTGCTTGGCTGGTAATGTGAGATGGGAACGGACAGTTGCTGGGCAGTGGTCGATATGCTCCAAGCTCACATCTCTATTGTCCTCTGTCCAGTGTCACATGTACATTTCTATACATGTCTGTATGTGACCTCAGACATAATAAAAACCATAAAAAGCACAGATAATCCAGCCTGTTTTTACATAAATCTTTTGCTTATTTAAGAATAAACGCCCTTTTAGTTGGTCTGCATCCCTTTTTTAGAACAGAGTTGGCCAAGACATTAAAAGAAGGAAAAAAAAAAAAAAAAAAAAGGCAGTATTTTCCTGAAATCTGTTTCCCTCCCTCACAACCAGGAATGGTGGACTCCTCCATGATGCCAATTATGGGCTACCTCGTAGATCTGCGTCACGTATCAGTCTATGGCAGCGTGTACGCGATAGCTGATGTTGCCTTTTGCATGGGCTTTGCCATAGGTAAGTGCAGCCTTTTCCTGCCTACGATGCAGAGTTAAGAAAAGAGAACATGCTCCGTGGCCAGGTGTGAATTCCCAGTGGCATTCACAGGTTTTATGAGCAGCAGTTTGTATTTTCTACAATAAATCAAAGCAGAGGGAATTGTGTTTGGCAGTTGGTCCCCTCCTCGGCTGCGATGCCATCCTCAGCTCCATTAGCTGTAAGAGGTTTGAAGGTGTCAGGCACTGCACACAAATAGGATATCTCTAATAAAGAGGCCTTGGAGTATTTAAAACTGACACCACAGCTGTGGTCCTAATAGTCTGTGAGGGGAATAACTCCCCACTGACCCCCTGCCTCCTTGAGTGCATGATACAGATGCTCCTAGGAGCATCTCTAATTTCTTCAATGAATGTGGAGTATGGAGCCAGGAAAGATTTATGCTGTAATTACAAACCATGTCTTTACATTCTTTAAATCAATTTGTAAAGAGGGAGTTTTGGATCTAAAATTACTGTTGTTTAAATTTACTGCTGCAAATTTAGTGTCTGAGTGATCTTCAGAAAAGGGTTTTTATTTGTGCAAGGTCCTTCTGCTGGTGGTGCCATTGCAAAGGCCATTGGATTTCCCTGGCTCATGACAATTATAGGGATTGTGGATATCCTCTTCGCTCCCCTGTGCTTTTTCCTTCGAAGTCCACCTGCCAAAGAGGAGAAAATGGTAAGCATAACATGGATTCCTTCTTTTGGGTTTTTTGTTTTGGTTTGGTTTGGTTTTGTTTTGTTTTTCCAGTGAAACAAATGATAAGTTATTTCTGTATCTTTGCCTCTAACTTTCCTAAAATGGGACCAGCACAGTTTGTTTCACCTTCATGCATCATCTTTGGAATGAACTCCCTCTTTTTTTTTATGTCCAAGATGTAACTAAGAAGAAGCTTTTCTTTATAGAATTATAGAATGGTTTATACAAGTTACAAAGTCACAAATTTGATTATCATGAACCAGGGTCCAGCAGACATTCATCTGCAACAGCATATGCTGTGGCAGAGTCAGTATAAAAGGCATTTTTGTTTTCCTTGACATGTCAGAACTGTATTGACCAATTTTGGTTTATTCCTTTGTGTGCTTCAACCTGTTTGTTTTAGGTTTTGGTTTTTTTTTTCCCCCATTGTCCTCTACAGTATATTTTCATCATATTTTTTCCTTCTCTTTCTTCCTCCATACAGATCACCTGCCCTTATAAATTAATGGCTTCCCTTCTCTTATTTATACCATGGGGCTTATCCTGACTTTTTTTAATGTAACTTTGCCAATGACTTAATTTTCTAGAGCAGTCAGGGCTCCCCAGCTGCTGTATGGTGTGTAAGAAAGAAGAGTGATGCTTGGCCAAATCAGCCTCTTGCTCATCCCCTGCAGCCCACAATGGGTATCTAAGGGATGAGTCTTGGAGCAGGCAAAGGTTTTGTGATACATCCCTAAAATTAGGGGCTAGGAGCCCTCAGTCAAAAGTGATGCTTGTGATTATCAGCCTTTAACAGAGTTTTTTGCCATTGATGGTCATGTTTGCTCTCTGAGCAAATGCAAAAGTCTACTTTCCAAAAGAGTTCCCCTGCTTATTCTGTGAGTTCTGCCCCAGGACACTCACCAATGTACCTGCAGGAACGCTTCACCCCTATTACTCAGTTTGCTTAGCCTGTCACCCCTCAAAAAAACCAGAAGGAATTAAAAAAAAAGATTCCTGCTTTGGTTTTGGTAGTCCTTTTCCTTCATTTCCCCTCCTATCTTGTTCTCCTCTCTCCATTCCTGTAGCTCAGCGTGCCCTTTCATGTAATATCCTTTACCTGCTCCCCTACTCTGCTGCTTCAAGACTTGCTGTTCCTACAGATGTAGATCAGGTTCAAAGCCCCTCTGACTGTGGGAGGGGGATCCACTGCTTTCCTCACTAGGTTTCCTCTGCTCAGCAAGAAGATGGGAAGCTCCCAAAAGAACTACAAGACAGTGCAGTCAAAACAATCCCTGCTGTGATTCCAGGGCTAGGAAAACCCTGGAAAACAAGTGCCAATCTCTGCTGCAACATCTGTCCCCATCTAGGGTAGGTCTAGCCCACCCAGCACTCTATCACTGCTCATGCTGAACAAGGGTGACAAGAGCCCAAAATGCTGTTGCTAGTTGTTTATTTGGGTGAAAAGAAAATGTAATTTTGCATAGCTATGGTCTTACTAGGCAGCACCACATCTCTGCAAGTAAGGACAGAACCTGCTGCATGTGCTGCTCACGCTTTGTACCGACATGAACAGAACAGAAGGTGGAAAAATGAATCTTGCTGAAATAGTGGTGTACGTGAGGCCAGAGACCTTTTGTTTTGCACATATTTGGACTGCAGAATCCCAGATTCCAGTTAATCCCTTGTCATGACCTTTGCAGACTGCACTGGGGTTTGGTTTTTTTTAAAAAACATTTTTTTTTACATTGACTAAGGCTGAGGAAGAGAAAGAATGAAGGGGAAAAAAAAAAAAGCAGTTGTTTGCTGGAAATACAAAGTTTATTGTGTGCTTCCATGGTCTCTTATAGCATGGTAATCACTGAAGGGACAGGATCCCTCCCCACAGCTTAAACACCTTCCAGTGTCTGCCCTTCCCCTGTGACACCTGTTCCCACGGTGGCTTGTGTCACTGAACTGATGTGCCACTTCTTTTGGGCTTGAAAACAATCAAAAGGAGGGTAACTACTTTGTCTCTATGCATAATTAATTAAAAAACAAATTTCACAAACTTCAAAAAACAAAAATCACATTCACCATGAAATAAGCTACACAACTGCTGTGTACAGACTCAGATTGTCCTAGGAAAAATTAATCCCAAAGAATATAATATTGTAGCTGGCCCCTAACTATGATACTCACTTTTAGCTTGCCATGGGTGTCAAGCGGCAATGTTTGGACAACCACACTCAGCAGAACCTGGGTTGCTGGTCTAGAGCTCCACAGAAAGCTCATAAGGGAGACACAGGTTGAGGCAGCAGGACTCCTCTTGTTCATTCATCCAGCTTTTAATAGATGGAGATTAAATATAGGAGAGGTAAGTTCTTGTACCTGGAGAGCAGGTAGATGTATTTCAGTTTAATACAGGGGCTGAAACACTGGTTCCAGGAAGGTAACAGAAATTTGTGGGTGATGTCTGTGATCTCACCTCACACAGACCAAGGGACTTCATTTACTCCGAGTAGAGTAGAGGTTGGGTTCTGCTTTCGGGAAGGAGAGGTGAATCCCCTGAGTGGTAGAGGCAGCAGGATGGTTGTGTGGTGGAATCACCCACACATCTCATCGGGGTGCTACGCAGAAGTGCTAATATTCACACTCCCTTTTCTTTTAGGCAATACTCATGGATCACAACTGTCCTGTGAAAACAAAAATGTATACCCAGAACAACATCCAGTCCTACCCCATCGGGGATGAAGAGGAGGAGTATGAAAGTGATGAATAACACAAAAAGCCATATAACATATTTTGGTGTATACAATGCAAGTGTTTCATGTGAAACAGCTCATCCAGAAATAGGTTTTAGTTGTATTGTATGTTTAATAGTGAAATGGTAAAAAAAAACCCCAAAGGTATATTATTTGTCACCCATGGTTACCAAGCAGACTGCTAACTGCCTTATAAAGAAGAGAAAAGCTTTTACAGAGGATTTGTATAGTGTTAATCTTTATTTTGTGTATTTAATTTTATTGAATATTACACTATATTTTTTATTAAATGTGTAGTATAAATCTGTATAAATGTGAATTTTCACTATCTGTTTTTTTAAGTCAATTCACTGGCACATGGTATTTCCTATTTTGTTTGGAGTCATGAGTTACTGCCACAAGCTCGGGTCTTTCTTATCTAATTGGAAGGGGGGGTTGGAAAAAGCAAAGCTCAAAGAAAACCTGTCCAATTTGCATCTTTTTTAATTGTACCCTTGTAAGTACATTGAGGGGAGCTGGATTCTGGCAGTCAGAGTGTGGACATCACTATCCTTTTTTTGGATCAATTTTAGGTCATATATTAGTAAAATCAAAGGCACAACTGCTTTGCAAATTTAAAAAAATAAGCTCTCCCTGGACCGCTCATGGAACGCTGGGGAAAACAGTATTTTAAACAAAGCAGTGTATTGCAATTAGTCAGTACTATTTAATGAGGTTTTAATTAGTTAACTAGTTGTGCAATACGAAGGCCCAAAACACAGCACCAGGTGAACAAGTAGGTGTGAATGTGCAGTTCTTTTCCCTCAAAGGGAGTAAGAAAAGCATGAAGATACTTTTTATATTCTTTTTAATATCTTATTCTTAACATATCTCAATTTTATTTTGGATGCATCTTAAGTGACTGGTTAAGAAAAGCTGCAGTATCACAGTATTTAGCCTCAGCATGTACTGAAAGCAAGCTGATAATTTCAGCAGTTCAACCAAAAAACTTTTACATGCATTTCCATACACATCTAGAAATTCACAGAATCACAGAATGATTCAATATGCATTTATTTAAAAAAAATAGTTAAAATATCAACTTTGATAAAAATAATGGAAAAAAGTGAACAGTTTGTTGCCAATATCTCAACATTTGGGGACACAGTTTAATACAGATAAAGCACTGGATTAGGCAGTCCCTATCTGCACTGAGAAAAATCAGACTTGGAAAGAAAGCGTTTTAAACCAATCCTTATCAACCATGGTGTGTCTTTTCATTTTTGAAATGAAAATCTTTATGTGCCTTCTTTCATGTCATTGGCAGATGTTTTATGTACTACAGCATAGATACTATGTTTACATTATAGTTTTGTAAAGTGTATATATACTATGGTCAGAAAATATGAAAAAAAATATAGTGATCCAATTTCAAGTATTGCTTTGTCAATAATTATGCATTCAGACCATATTAAAGTTATCTGAAAGTTCATAATCTATTGTAATAAAGTAAAAATAATAATAAAAGAAAGAATCCCCTCATGATTTACCTTATGCATTATTTTGCTGTATCCTGGGGTGGGGGGTGGAGGGGGTAAAGCCAACAAATACTTTAGTATTTGGAAAATACATAGTATAGGAAAGTATAGAATAGTATATAAGTATAGGAAAGCACTCCTGGATTCTAGTCCACTTGTAACTCAGGACACAAATTTTCACCCCAGGTCATAAATACACACAACTTAAGTTTAAATAACTGGGATAGATTCTAAAATCAGTCTGTCATGTGGCTGCTGGTCTGAGATTTAACTTTTGGGAAATAGTTAAGGCCAAAACATGCAGTAGCAGGGGACACCCTTGTATGTTCTTTAAAAAGGGTGAAGATTCTGAGAAAACACTCTAAGAGGCTTAAATGGTGTGAGGCCAAGCAATAGGTCCTATGGTTGATTTTAAAAAAAATCCCCTTACAGATTTTTGTAGTGGTATATTTCCCATTGCATTCTTTTAAATATGTAACAGAAGGAAATCCATCCTTCAAAGCTGAGAAGTGTTTGGAGAAAGCCATTAATACAGCACAAACCAAGATTCTGTCTTATGTCGAGTACTTCACTGCCCCTGAAGGAGTAACAATTCTGCAGATTGATCATTATTTACACTGGGTTCAGATTTTAACGTTGTAGATCATTTGGAGACTTGAAACTTTGCCCCAAGAGGTTGTTCTACTTAGCTTCACTGAGCTCTTCTGTTAATCCAATTAAATTTGAAATTAATATACTAGTGTTAGAACTCCAAATTACCACATGACATGTTCATTCATTTGCTAGCTGATTAACCAAGGTATTGCTTAAATTCACAAGTATAAATAACCCAAATATAGTAACTTATACATGGGTGGTTTTTTTTTTTTAAAAAAAAGCATAGAATGGGTTACTTCATGGTTTGGTTTTGTACTTCTGAACACACCAAAATTAGGGGAGAATTCACATTAATCTGCAACACAAAATGAGTATAAGAAGGAGGTCCAAGGACAGATTAGTTTATTACATTCCTCTTCTGCAGAGGATGGAACTGGGGCCTCATGGACCAGCATCTTACCATGGTTTGCTCAGTCTGGCTCCTCCACACTCTTGCTCAGCTCCTGGTCCACCAGAAGTTAGAAGACAAGCGCCACACAGACACCCATGTCTGGGCTCTCTGCACTGCCTTTTCCCCAAAAAGAAATATCTAGCTATAGTTCTGCATTTTGGATTTTCTGTGCCATGGAGGAATAAGTAATCACACACAAACCCTTCTTGCTGACAGCTGCAGAAAATACACAAAAAACCCCCATTCTGTCCTGGAATTATTTGGGTTATTTCATATTTTGTATATTTTGATCTGTGTCAATTTAAGTGTGATAAAGTGATTTAGTTCATTTGCTCCCACCACTTAGCCCTCCTCTGTAGTTGTAAACTTCCATATATCTTTTATTTCAAATTTGAGGGAAAAAACCCAAGGACAGGGGAAATACAAGGAAAAACTGATTAGATAAAAATGAGCTAGTAAACAGTAAGGATTTACTTAGTTATTATCTATTAACATTTTCTGAAGGACACGGCAAGTCAGAAGAATTTTGCTTGGACAATTTTTTCCCCTCATGTAACTCTGTGGTAGTCACTGTCACCAATTCAGTTGTTATTTGTGCAGTGCTTGGAGATCTCAAAAAAACCCCCCACAAATATCCTTAGCATTTGATAAGGTTTTTCTAGCTACACAAAGAATCAACTGAAATCACCATTTTCAAATAAATCCATGTCTACCATTAAACTGTGTAGACAAAGAAATACATATGCAAATAGAATGAATGCACAAAAGCCCAATTAATCCAACAATCACAAGTTCTATTTAGTGCAAATGTGTTTTTCTCCCAAAGATCTTTCCTTGAAGCAGTGACTCTAGATGCTAAAATACTGCAATGCAAATGTTTAAAAAAAATATTAACACAATGCAAAAGTTGATAATTTAGCAAAACTATTTTATTAAAGCTTATTTTCATGATAAAATAATAGCCAACAAAATCATACTAGGCAGATCATCTGCAAAATGTGTGTAGCTGCCACCTATTCAGATATCATTAAGTCAAGATATTCTTGTTTTCTGTGGTATTCTTTATTTTCAGCTATTTACAGTCAAGCATGAAGCAAAGATTACATCAGGAATGTAGTATTACAATTTCCCCCTCAAGACTCACCGTTTATTGTAATTAATGCCAGATAGGAATTTATGTTTTCCTTCTTATCACTAAAATACAACTATTTTGCCCTTTTCCCATTCGGCATATTTAAAAATATTGCACTAAGTTTAATTTATCTCTTACAATCATCATTAGCAATACTATACGAGGAAAACTATATCCAGCTTTTCTTACCCACTGTATTACACAAGTCAATTTAAAACCATGAATGTGTTTTTGAAATCAGTATTTGCATTGTTTTCACAGCTCCTTCATGTGTACCAGGGTTTAAATGAAGTACCTGGATATATTTCAAAACCTCTATAGTAGACCGTAAGAGCAAACAGTGATGGAGATTGAATGCAGATCACCACCAATGTTAAGCCACTGAGAAAATGGAGTGGGGAAGTCTTAATATGCATCTCAAGCAAGTATAGGTTAAATAACTTTTAGTCAATATGGGAAGCTAATTTTGTGCTATTATTTGCTGAAGCTTAATTTCAGAAGTGTGTCACATGCCTATTTTAGCATGGATAGTGTTTTCCATACATCAACTAAGTATCAACTGCCCAGAACTCACAAAAAAGTGCAAGTAGTTGCATGAGTGGAAGTAAGCATTTTGTTCAGAAGTACAAGTATGCTTTTCCATCCGTGAAAATCAGTGCTTCTTAATTTTGCCCATCACAAAATAAACTGAGAAGCAAATTTAATGGAGAGGTACATTACAGACTGCCGGAAAATTTCAATGAGTTTTTTACCATCTCAGATTCAACTCCACTTCCACAAAGGCATTATTTTTTTTTTCCTACTACCAGTCATAATGACACCAGTACCTAACACAGTACCTAAAATAAAGATGGTATTTTATACAACATTTCTATACACAGAAGATGAAACAGAGACATGTTTACAGGAAATAAGAACAGCCCTAGGCGGGTGATGCTAAGATCCACAGTTTACACATAGCACAAGACCAGATAGTTCTTTTCAAAAGCTGCTGGCTGAAATTCTTCCTCATCTCTACTGGATTCACTTATTTTGACTCAAATAAAACATGTTATATACACTATAGGACATTTTTCTGACCAAGTTGATTCTTCTGCTCAGACTTGTCTCTGCTGTCTGAGGAGCTGAATGCTACTTACCACTATATGATTACTCTAAAGTGTTGAGAGAACATGTTTAGCTATTTTGTACCTTAAGCTTTCTGAAATGATAGAGTCTTTAGCAAAATATTATTTTTTTTAATTACTTAAACCATCATTACATGCTTTTTCACAGAATGCAGTGAAACCTCCAACTCTTGTGAAGAACAATTTTCCTTTATCAGGTTATCAGATAATACAACACCACTTAAATATATGATTTTGTTCTGTAAGAGGCAACTAGCCTCTTATCTCAGAAATATTCCCAATTAAATTATTATGAGATACTGGCATATACTTTGATATCTAGTATTATTCAATCAGGATACAATAGCCCAAAGTTCTATGGAGGATTTTTTTAGTATAGCATTACTGTATTTCATGTTAATTACAAACTATGAAAAGTTCTTGTATTTAACAAAAATATGGAAAACAAATGATATGCAATGTTAATTTTAGTAAATATTAATAACAGACAAAATGAAAGACCTTTCCTTTGTTTTCATGATATGTTTGGCAAAAAATACACAACTACCGAGAAGACGTACAATAACCGTGATCAACATTTTAAAGCCTGGTCCCTCAGTGACTTCTGTGTCAGTCATCAGCTTAGGCATGCAACAAGCTTATAATTTTTTCATCATACAATGGAAACTAAACATTTTGAAAATCCTGCTAGTTTCCTGTTGAAAACACTAGCTCACAGAAAAAAAAAAAGGGGAGGGGGGAGAAGGGGGGAGCAAGTAATACATTAAGGACACCACACACATTGATGTGAAATGGTAAGGTTACATAATTAGAAAAAATAAAAATAAGTTATTAAAAATAAATTTCCAATATAAACCCCAAAATGTAGCTTTAACCAGCCAGTTTAACAAAATGATGGTGCTGTAGCTGGCGAAGAACCATTATTAGCCATACTCTTACACAGGCAAATAACTGTGGAGAAGCAGGACGTGTACGTTATACCAGTGTTTTAATTTCATTTGTGTGTGTCTAAGTGCAAAGTATTCTTTTAGTCTGTTCCTTCAAAGGCTGAATACGTAAATATCAGTCTACTGATTGAGGTGGAACAACTGGTTCTTCTGACATGATGTTGAATGTTGGAGCCTCCATCAGACTGGCATCTTCGTTATCCATTTCTTCTGCTATACTAGTTTCCTCTGAGTCTTTAGTCGCTCTTTTGGACTGCCGCTCTAATGACATGTTCTCCAAAGACTCCAGATCCTCAATGCCTGCTCTGTAGTGGATCATCAGCAGCGTAAGGGCCTGCAGTCTTTCACCCGACTTAGCCAGCGCAGCAGAAATCAAGGCTTTTTTCCTTGCATCGGTTGTTTCTTTTTCTTCTTTAACAAGTGAATTATTATTTTCCAGCTCCTGGTCTATTTCATTCTGCAGCTTATCCAACATAAATTCTAATTTCTGAAAACGCTCCCCTGTGGGTAAACTTCTGTAGAGATCACGTCCAATTTCCTTAACTGCAATGAAGACGCTGTCATCTAGACCGCCCTCCTTTCGGACCAACTTTATCCCAGTACCTGCTGCACGTTTTGAAGGACTGCTTGGCCCACTGATTTCAGTATCGCTACTTTCATTATCAGAAGTGTTTGGTGTGTGCTTTGGTGAAGGTTCTACCACCTCTGTTCCTTGCTCAGAAAGGCGAGCTTTGGGGACTTGACGAAGGTTTAACAACCGGGTGCTTGTATTGATGATATGCCTGGTCAAACCTGTAGTTCTGTTAACAGATTTAGATTCTGAATCAACACGAGAGGATGCAGCTTGGGGAGCTTCCTGCCCTTCTGCTCTACAACCTCCCACAGTTCGATCAAGTCGCTTTTCAGCTCCTACACAAAAGGGTGTCTCAGCTAGACATTTTTCTTGACATTTTTTATGGCAAACGTAAGCACAGAGCATGCACTGCGAAGCTGCTTTAGTCCACACTTTCTTTTTGCAGTAATCACACCAAGTTGGATTCTGAAACTGAGTATCTTGAAAGTTATGCTTGTTCTCCGTAAGAATTTGTCCCAGGTAAGGATCCTCTTTCTGAAGTACACGAGTTTCTTCTTCCAAGTGACATTCCCTTTCTTTCTCCAGGAGAAAGTTTGAATCATCTCCTTCACCTTCTTTTAAATATTTGAAGTGTAAAGTCACATCGCCATAACAAAATTTTTCATTGAACCCCTTATGGGTTGTCAAATTCCGCAACGCTGTTCTAGTGACTGCTGCTTTAGGTGTAGGAGCACTCAGTTTAAATGTTCTAATATATTCCATTGAGGATGTAGCTATACAATCTAAAGCAATTTCTTCAAGTTTTATGCTTGCATATCCTAAGCAGATAAAACCACCTGCTTTGAAAGGGTCTCTGCACCACAGTGCAACATTAAGGTACTTATGGTATCCTTCTACTTCAAACAGACAGGAAGATGTTCTTGTCCTTGGCCATCGGCCTTGATGGATTTTATAAGGAATTTCTGGTGATTCCCATGTTTGATGATCATCTCCACCATCTTTGTAACTACGTGCATTTTCTGAAAGTCCATCTTTTAATGTATCTTGTTTTGGTGCTGTTATTATTTTTGATACCACTGGGTCTTCTATTTGATCATTATTCTTTACTACCTTCTCTGTACATTTATCTCCGTTATTTGCAGGTGGAGGTGGCCTCTCTGGTTTTTCACAAGATACACCTCCAGTTTCTAAGAGACTTTGGGTTTCACTAGTAGGTAAAATAAGCTTACTTTGTGGCCTAGGTGGCACAGGAGGCTTAATACTGGATCCTTGTGATTGTTTACCTGATTGCTGTGTTGCATCTGAGCCCTCAACAGTTTTGGGTGTTGCCACTTTAGCTCCATCTTTTTGTTGTGTTTTTGATGTTGTCTGATAACTTCCTAAATGTAGTTTTCGATTCAGAATCGGAGAGATAGTTCCAAGTGGTTTAGCAGCAAGTATTACTACTGAATGTTTGGGACTGGGAGCGGTTGGTAGATCATCTTTTTGGCTGGCTGATTCACAAGCTAAGTCCTCAAATTCTGAATCAAAGTCTCTGTTATCAACATCAGCTGATAAACTAGCTTGGTCATCTTCTGGCTGTGTCAGGAAAGCAGTGTCTTCCAATTGTCCAAATCCATCCTGCAGTGCCGAGCCATGCTGATTATACCCAACAGGCCGTTCGTAAAAGACTAAAACTCTGTCCCCAGCCTGTCTAATAAGCTTCAACACTTGGACAGTTGATGTGATTTTAACACCTATTAAAAAAAACAAAAATTGTTAAGTTTGAACTACTATAACAATCTATAAGGACCAAAAATAATCGACAAGCATGTTTAGATCTTTAATAGTGGTAGTAATACTGTTGTTCACTAACAGAGTGAAAAAAATTCTGACAAAGAGCTTAACTGAAATGTAGCAGATGGATCCTTTCCATTTTATTCATACAAAAATATCACTTTGGGAGCTGGAAAAGACACTAACGTAAGTACTCCAGTTTGCTGTTTGATATTAATGCTGTAATGTTATACAGTAATGATGATTTTGTATACTAACATTTTTAACCTTGGTCTTACTGTAATTTTGGACTTTCCAGCAGCAGGCATTTAACAAAGGATTTAAAAGAAATGGGTATCTTTAAAGGCAAACAAAGAAAAAAGTTCCAATATGTTAACAAAATATAGACATGATGCTACATTCTCAGTGTGGCTGAATAGTGAACTGAATCATCTTCCTCATCAAAACTGTCAGAGCTATCTGACAGTATCTCCAGCCTATGGTAAGATTCAACAAGTTACATGCAAGCTAAAATATCTTAATGAGTACACAGTCATGCAGGGGGTCATGTAAAAATGACTTCTCCCTTGTTCTAGAGCAATCATTGAATTGTCTGTTCAAAACAACTCAGAACCCTTTTGGAGCAATGCAACAAGGATTTAGGCAGTACCTAAACATAGTAACTCATTGTAGTGGTTAAGCTCTGGTCTGTAAATCCTCTCAGGTATAAACTTAACTTCCCTTAGAGTGATTTCAGTTTACATTCTATTTTATCAGTGGTACCTACACTTATTTCTACAATGTTATTAATGTACAGTGATATTTCCACTCCTTTTTAGTCCTTACAAATCCATGGACAGTATATAAACCTAAAGAACTTTAAACTAAGCTACTTATGATTTCTACTCCATGTTTTATTTAGTCCCACAATATCCAGTAGAATAGAACATGCTGCATTATTTCTCAATGATCACACAGGTTCCTATCTGCTCCTTCCACTAAGTTGATAAGCCACTGTTCTTGTTAATGCCCACTGCCATACTCTGTAGGTCCCCTCCAATTCTCAAGTTTAAAGCAGCAAGACTTCCAGTATCAGTTTCTGATTATGGTTTATGATTATGATCTAGTTCTCTGTTGGTGTCAGGGTCCATATAAAACAGAAGTATTCCAGCTACATCTGGAGATGGCCTAATTTAAAATTTTAGAATATAAACTAGTATCAATCCACTCCATAATGTCAAGGGATTTCAACAGAATCTTTATTTAAAAAATAATAATTAAAAAAAAAATAAAATCACAGTGCCCTGCCCCACAAAAGTCAAGAGTAACTTTTCACCTCAATGCAGCACTTATCAGCCAGTTACAATTCGGCCAAAGCCTTAAAATATGAGAACTTCAGAGCAGATTTCTAAATAATACTTAGGCTCCTACATGTTGGAGCTGACAAAAATTGATAGTCATACCAAATACTCAGCAGATCATCTTGGGTCATTTTGACATTTCAGGCATTACTCTGTTAGTCAAAAATACGTCTATACTACTCCTTCCATACTCTAGTTAGTACATTTAGGTTCAAATCTGAGTATGCAGGCCTAGGATGAAAAATGTTATGATTTTCTTTGTAAATTAAGCACATTTTATAACATCACTGGAAGAAACTAAGTAGAGAACCTCACAGTATCACTATTAGAGCAGTTAAAATATATTTACATTCAAATGTTTATTCAAATTTATTTTGGCTTTAACCTAGGAAAGAGTAAATATGTAAGAAAACAAACCAAGTGAATGATAACCTTAAGTGGTCATAAATACATAAACATTAGTTTTTATTATGAGTGCCAGGAATAACTAATTGTTGAGAAAGGCAGTCTAGTTGAACCATAAGGAGACACATCCTCCCAGTTTGCAAGACGACACATATTTTGAAGGCTGACACGTTACTCACTGCCAATTGCGAGAAGTCTGTCTCCCCTCTGTAGATCAGCAGCTGCAGCAGGCGAGTTTGGAGTCACAGTTTCAATGACAACGTGTCCTGCATCTTCTTCCTTGGACTGCACAAGGCGGAGTGTGAGCCCAACGCTTTGCAGGTTCCCTTTCACTAGCTCTGCCTAGAGAGAAAGAAGTTAATAGTACGTCAATTAAGCTGATTGCAAGGATTCATGGTTACTAATGATTGTTTAAATAAAATTATACAACAGATATTATTAAAAAATTACATTAGGACATCCACTGACTTCATTAAGCAGACTATCACATGATAGATTAACTGTCTGAAAATCCAGTTTACACGTTTGGAGAAAGATGGAACCAAACATCACCAGTTCTGAAGAGACAAATATGCCAAAACTAGAGAGCAGTACACAGAATTGTCAGTGAAATAAATATATGTAAGTGTCTGTGTGCACACATCTGTTCTATAGTTTATATATAATTAATAACAATACTGAGCTAACCCATGCAAATACAAATCAGCAGGAAAAGCAACACACAGCTCATCTTTACAAAAAGCCCCAGTCCTAACAAAGCTACAACTGAGTGCAACCTCATCAGCTGTTTTATTGGGAAGAAGTTTTATTAAAAGAAGCACTGTACCATCAATCTAGGTATCCCTTTGAATTTACCACATTTGTGTTATAAAACCTGTTACTACAAGTAACTCTTCAGTAGTCTATAGAAAAAGGTATTTTTTGAAGTAGGAAAACTATTATGTACTTGCATATTGCTAAAGCATATTTAGAACAAATCTAAATTAACAGCAGCCTAAGAAGTTTCTTCAAAGAACTCTTTCCTCATCTTTACCTTGCAAGAGAAATACAAAATAAATTAACTTGATAATATCAAATAACTTATTCTTAAAAAAATAACTGAGGTGCAATGACTGTAACCAAGTTTCATCCCTAACTCATACACAGATCTCATAAGTTGCAAGTTCCTGTTGAACAACAGGTAGAGGTCAATTGTTTTACACACCTTAGTGTCATATCTCCAGGATCTTTTTTCTTAATAAAGACTGTCCTTAATGAATTGAAAAATATACCTTTTTTTTCCTAAAGCACATTCCTTCTGGACTGTTTCAAATGACTGTCTAGTGTCATTCCACCAAAGCACATTCTGTCTGTTTGAAAGGGGAATTCATAGTTTAGGTTTCAGCTCCAAGGACAGAAACTTAATTTGCTTTTTTGATTCCCAAGAACAGAGAAATACACATTGTTTGTAGAAAACCTCCATAGGAAATTTTCTATTTGGTTTCAATTTACTGAGTTTAGGTAGACAGTCTCCTCCATCCTTCTGCATTTACTTTGCTGCTATTCAATTGTCGATGTCTGAACTCTCTGGAGTCGATCCTCCTCTTCTGAGGATGTGTTCATGTGCTTAGTGTTGTACAGTGGCTTTCCACAGATGAAGTGGATTACTTAACTTCAGTACCTGACTCTCCTTGGCTGCACAGCTTTCACTCCTCTCCTAAAGGTGTTAATAGCACCACATCTTGGCTTCTTGTTAATTGTTGTTCAGTTCTTTATAGAAATAAAAATGCTATGCTACTTAAGAGTTTACTTAAGAACAGCACTGAGTCTGAAGGAGCAGACTAGCATCAACTTCCTCAGCTTTGTCACTAACTTTCTTCACTTAAGGGAAACATTTTCTCTCAAACTTCATTAACATCTATTGGGAATATCCAGTAATGTACGTAAGACTAACAAGATCTAATACAATATTGTAGTTCCAAGAGTCAAGGTTCTTCTATAATGCAAACAAGTAAATAGCTGCAGAAACAACTGTGGTAGGGGTTTTTGTTTGTTTGCTTGTTTTAATTAAGGCCACTCCCATTTACACCAAAGAAACTGATAAATAATTAAATTTTTTAAACTTAAATAATAAACTCTTAAGTGTTAAGAAACAAAGAAAAAGTATTAGAAATACCTGTGGAAGAAAAGAGAATTTTTTTTTTTTTAATAATTACTCTTCTGCTTTAGTCCTTTATTTATATATAATATGTCCCTAAGTTAGCAACAAATGTTGCATGTGCTCTATGGAAACAACATGAACAATTACTACAATTTCAACAACACTCATTGAATATTTTAACTGCCAAAACCACAAATGATATGAATTTGCTGTGGTGGCACACAAAACTGCAACAAAAACTCCTTCCAAAAATCACTCCCCTATGCTACATGGCTCTGCATCAACGAGGAGACCATTATTTCTGAGATGTGTCAGAGTTTAAGTACTCAAATCTCAGTTTTCCCAAGATGTTTCCTTTGAAAGTCTTGCTCTAAATGATTAAGGTTGGAAAAAGATTTCCAAATCATTGTGTTTTAATAGATAACAAAACTATCATAATGAAGACCAGAATGTAAACTCCCACTTAAGGAATGCTGACAAATACGAATGTTATAAAGGACTGAAAAGCAAATTATAACCATTTTTTGCCCTAATTTTTGTTAGTCCACTGAAGTATAAAGCTCTTTAGTGAGAGAACTTCAGGGAAGTAATAGATGCTTAGACAGAATTATGGAGGAAAAAAAACCAAAACAGGATCATTTTCCTCTTAATACTAAGTTATTCTGGTCATTTAACTACACTGCTTTAGGGACACATCTATTTTGATGATCATAGAATCATAGAGTGGTCTGGGTTGGAAGGGACCTTAAAGATCATCAGTTCCAACCCTCCTGCCAGCAGCAGGGACACCTTCCACTAGATCAGGTTGCTCAAAGCCTCATCCAGCCTGGCATTAAACACTTCCAGAGAGGGGGCATCCACAACTTTCCTGAGCAACCTGTTCCAGTGTCTGACCACCCTCACAGTGAAGAACTTCTTCCTAATATCTAATCTAAACCTGCCTCTTTCAGCTTAAACCCATTTCCCCTTGTTTTGTCATTAACTGCCCATATGATATATAGTTTCTTCTGAAATCTTATACTAGTTCTGGATCTTAACACCCAGAACTGGAGTTAATTACTAAGACAAGATGTTTTAAAGTCATGGCTCATCCAAGTTGGATAGTCTGTTAGTTCTGCACCACTGCAGAAGAAACGTTGCTCTAAGTTTGGTTGCAACGTGAGGTAACTCTTGTGCAATGAGTCTTTGCGCAGACCAGAAAAAGATCCAACTACTGAAGGAAGTTGCCTATCCTGTATCACTTTTACAGGAGCTGCCTCATGCAAATCTACTTTCTTTTACAGTCAGGTATTTTCTCATCCATTCAAAGAGTGACATAAAGAAGTGATAAGATTTCTAAAGACCTGTTCTTCAGGAAGGAGCAAGCCTTATATGAAAGACAATGTCAGAAGGAAAATAAGAGCTGGTGCTGCAGCATCCACTGTTTTGGAGAGAGGCAGCAATGACCCCTAAACCACTGTTAGGACTTGCAATCATAGCAAACTGTGATGAGCAGATATGGGGAAAGGGCATAATTATACAGTAAAAAGGAAAAAAAAATAACGTTACCAAAAGCTTTCTTACAGTTTGTCAATACAGACCCTCATCCTCTTGAGCTTCCTGAGCAGATCCCAATATTGGATGACTTAACAATGAAAATATTCTCTACTGTAAAAGACTAGAAACCTCTGAGGTGACTCCCAGCATTTCACCCTTCCCTCCTCCCCCAGGGCAAGACCACATAAAAGAAACGAGGGACAGCTGGGACCAAAGACACTTTAGGTATCTCTGAACATTTGGCTTCCATGCAGGGCCACTGACCGCAGATTACAGCACGTATGACTCACTGATGGTGAGGAGACTTCCAATATCCTAGCAGTATCTGATGGAAAGCTGTTTTTGGAAGGAGAGCGCCTTTGAACATAACAAGCAAAGTTCATCTCAACTTTTTATTAACTTTGGCACAGTCACAAGCTTTCTCACGAAGTAAACTGGTTTTATTTATCCACCCAAACCAGATGAATAGTTCCTTGATTTTTTTTTCCTCTGTCAACTCCAATGTTTCACCAAATGATAAGACGACCACTAGCTCAGACCAGCTGCAGTGCCAGTAAACACTGCTCAAGGTCTCGAAAACCCCCAACCCCAACAAGTACACTCACAAACACAAGCATCTTCATATAACCAAGCACACGGCTACTTTATGCCTTTCTGCCTCTCCCACAAATTAAAACTTCATAATAAACATGGAGAGCCAAAGATCTACGGGAACATGAAACATTAGAAGGACAAAAAAATCAACTAAATGACACAGAGGTTAGAAGAAAATTGCTGATAATGAAAGGACATTTATTATCAAGGAAGCTTGCTGCAAGGGAGAAAAATTAACAACTGTGCCTAAGGGAACTTTTAACCAGCTAGCTATACCATATTGAAGCAAGTTTATTTCAATTTGATCTAATTAATAGCTCTATTTTACCAGTTCCTGCAAATCTTAGCAGTTACTTAAATAAGGAACAAGACCAAGCAGATAATACTACATGCTTGTCAGTGAAAGGCATAAATTCAGAGTAACTTATATTGAAAGAGTTAAACTGCATCATGAAACTCAGAAAATGTACTTTTTAAAAAAAGGTAAGTAGCCTTCAGACTATTTATGAAATACTTGTTGAGATTAAGATGCAACAGAACAGGAATGACTACCGGGGGAGAGGGGGAGTAATTAATTTCCTTAGTCTTTTATTATTCAAGGGAAAAGCCCAAGAAGAGGACATAAGATGTCCATCCATTTTAAAATTAATAAAACATTTTGATGTGGGGCTGTGAATGTCTGACTTTTACAGAACAAAGTCTACAAGCATTGATTTCACAATGTAAGCTTTTATTCATTTATATGCATCTGTGCATGAGCCACTGCAGAGCACAACCCCACCACTACCTTCAGTTCAATACTAGAAGTATGCTCTGGAAATACAATATAGCAGAAAATTATATTGTGTCCCACAGCCTTTCCTTACCTCAGCCTCATTGTTCTGAAAGCTTAGCAGATGTTGAATGTCAGTGAAAATCAATTTTTCCAACCTTTTTTAATATACTGATACTGAACTCCACAGCTACACAATTATCATTCAGAAGTTTATAGCTTATTAATACCATTTAAATGGCCAAATATTTAGACTAGTGTCAATACAGGATGCAGTTTCAATCTTCAAACACTTCATTA